AAACTCCTGGTATGGTGCTTGTCAACACTTCTTTGACCAGTAAGAACTACTTGATCTGGCGTAACGCTATGTTTACTGCCTTGGAGTCCAAAAATAAGTATGGTTTTGTTGACGGTAGTTGTGTTATGCCTGCTGTTAATTCTCCTATGTTTAAAAAATGGCGTCACGTCCATAGTATGGTACTATCTTGGATTAAGAATGCTCTGGCCCCCAACATTGCTGTTGATTTTCAGTTTGTAAATGATGAGAAAGAGTTATGGGATGAGTTAGCTCAGACATTTGGTACTTGTAATGCTCCGATGGTTTTTGAATTAAAACGTAATATTTCACTGATGAGGCAAGGTGATTTGACCATCCCACAGTATTATAGCAAACTTAGGCACTTATGGGATAAATATGCTCAACTTCGGCCATCTTTAGCCACCACTGGTTTACTTCATGAGCAAATTCAGGAACGCAAAATGGAGGATAAGGTCATGCAGTTTCTTATGGGGCTTAATGATGTGTATGAACCGGAGAAAAGTGCCATTCTGTTGCTGGATCCTCCTCCTAATCTTAGGATGGTGTATTCTAAATTGCTTAAGTCTGAGAAGCACAAGCAAGTCATCGTTGGTATATTAAGTTCTGTTTCTGGTGATAATCCTGCTATGTTGGTCAAGCCACAGTCATCTCAGCCTGTCAGGAAAGAAGGACCAAAGCCTCCAGTTTCTAAAACCCTTTTACCTTGCCCTGGTGGTCGCCCTTCTTTTCCCAGACCCGACAAGAGTACTCTGTTTTGCAGTAACTATCACAAGACTGGGCATATTAAAGAATATTGTTTCGACTTGATTGGGTATCCCGACTGATGGCCTGGTTCTTCTTCTCAGCCTTCCACCATTAAGAAACAGGCTTTTCTTGTAGACACCTTTTTTGACGCCAAACCTGATGAGTCCACTCGCCTGCAGGATCTTATCAATAGTGCTGTCCAGCAGGAGGTAACTAGACTTATCAAAGGCAAGGGATCTCTGGATGATCTTTCCCTCATTCCTGGTGGTTCAGCCCCACACTCTTCCTCCGTACATTTTGCAAATCTTCCTCAGTTTGGCGAGTTTGCAGGTAACACTATTATCTCTTTACTTAGTTCTGATTATACTGATTGTATAAGTGTGCATGTTTGGATTAATGACACGGGTGCAACGTGTCACATGAGTTATAGTTTAGAAAATATGATAAATCTTTGGAATGTAACTGTCTATACTCCTGTATTCTTACCTGACGGTAGTATTAGGGAGGTTCACAAAATAGGCGATGTCGTATTGTCACCCACATTGACTCTTACTGGTTGTTTGTATATCCCTTCCTTCAAACACAACTTGCTTTCTGTCAAAAAACTTGCTCAATCTTTCTTAATTTTTCAATTCTTAGATACATTTTGCTTGCTGCAGGACCTTAAAATAGGTCATGTTATTGCAGCTGGTAAAGTGGTTCGAGGTCTCTATATCATCAATTCAACCTCTTTCACTTCTTAAGCCATTCTCCAAAGCCAAGACTTTTATGCTTCTTATGTACTGCGAGCTAAGCAATTTTCTGTGAATAAGGCTTGCGTAGCCATTGATGTAGCCACTTGGCACAATAGATTAGGTCATCCCTCGTCTATTGTATTTCGTCGTCTTTCAGATTCTATCCTTTCTTCTGTAAATAGTACATCCAAAGATGTTTGTGAAGTTTGTCCTCTTGCTAAACAACATCGTAATTCTTTTCCTACTAGCTCTATTCAAAGTACTACAATTTTTCAACTCCTTCACGTTGATGTATGGGGCCCCTACAAGCATGCTTTTCGTAGTGATTTTCATTTTTTCTTGACTGTTGTCAATGATTACAGCCGGTGTACTTGGACTTTTTTAATGAAACATAAAAGTCAAGTCGGACATATTCTCAGTCATTTTCTTACCCTTATCCAAACCCAATTTCATCATGCTGTTAAGGTTATTAGAAGTTACAACTGCACTGAATTTCTCAATGAATATTGTCGCAACCTTTTTCCTACCCATGGTATTATCCACCATCGAAGTTGTCCTTAGACTCCACAACAAAATGGAGTTGTCGAACGCAAACATCAACATTTACTTCAAGTCGCTAGATCTCTGTTAATTCAATCTCACTTACCGAAAACTTTTTGGGGCGATGCTATTCTCACAGCCACTCACCTCATTAATCGCTTACCTTCTGTTGTCTTGCAAGGGAAATCTCCTTTTGAGATTCTCTATAACATCAAACCTGATCTTACTGTTCTTCGTACCTTTGGTTGTCTTTCCTTTGTTGTCGATAACACCCCTACCAGGGACAAGTTTGACCCTCGTAGTCTCAAAGGTATTTTTGTCGGATATCCTTCCGGGCAAAAAGGCTATAAAATTTACTGCCCTTCCTTAAAGAAAACTATTGTATCCCGAGATGTGATCTTTCATGAACACATCTTTCCTTTCTTTGAAACGTCCCAACCTGATTACGTGTTACCTAAACCCCTTCCTGATCCTCTTCCTAATGATACCTTTCTTTTCCCCTCATCTAGTCATGGTTCTTCTTCTTCTCTTGATCCTCGTCCTTCTTCCACCAGTGATCTTATACCTCCTGTTTCTACTACTCAAACTCTCCCTCCTGCCCCTGTTCTTCGACGAAGTATGAGACCTACTAAACTTCCCAGTCATCTTGAGGATTTTGTTTTAGTCAATTCTTGTACTACATCTCATCTTTCCAGCTACATTTCGCATGATTGTTGTCTTTTCTCTAAAACTCATGAAACTTTTGTTGCAAACTTGTCTACCTTCCAAGAACCTCATACTTACAATCAAGCTAGAACTAATGTAAACTGGATAGAAGCCATGAATCAAGAGTTAGCTGCTTTAGAGCATAATGATACGTGGGAACTTACTTCTCTGCCTTCGGGGAAGAAACCTATCGGTTGTAAATGGGTATATCGGGTGAAATGTAAATCTGACGGTAGCATTGATCGCTTTAAAGCTCGGCTGGTTGCTAAGAGTTATACTCAAGTAGAAGGGGAAGATTATTCTGAGATTTTCTCTCCCGTAGCCAAATCCGTCACTGTCCGGATTCTCTTTGCTGTTGCAGCTAGTTTTTCTTGGCATTTGCATCAACTTGATGTCAATAACGCTTTCCTCCACGGTTTTCTTGATGAAGAGGTATATATGCTTCCTCCTCCCGGCTATAGTAAAGCTCTTCCCGGTCAGGTTTGTCGCCTTAAAAAGATCTCTTTATGGTCTTAAGCAAGCCTCTCGTCAATGGAACGCCGAATTTACTTCCAAGCTGCTTGCCTTTGGTTTTGTACAATCCGTCAATGATCATTGCTTGTTTACCTTTATTACTCCTGCCTATCAAATGTTTCTCTTTGTGTATGTCGACGATGTTCTCCTTATTGGGTCTGATGAAGTCCAGATTGCCCTTGTTAAGTCTTTCTTGGACGATGCTTTTTCTATTAAAGACCTTGGCCTAGCCAAGTATTTCCTAGGTATGGAGATTGCTAGGTCCTCTGCTGGCCTTTATGTTTGCCAACACAAATATATTACTGATGTCCTTCGAGACACTGAAATGCTTGATTGCGTTCCTGTAGCTACACCTTTTCCTAAGGATTTCAAGTTCTTGGCTAAGGATCCCAGCCCTAGTTTCTCTGATCCTGCCAAATCTCGCAGACTGATAGGCAGATTGTTGTATTTGAACTTCACTAGGCCTGATCTTGCTTACGCCGTTCAGCAACTAAGCCAATTTATTCAAGCTCCTTTACAATCTCACTGGAATGCTGCCCTTCATGTGCTTAAGTACCTTGCTGGCTGTTCTTCGAAGGGTCTGTTCTATCCTACCGGCACTTCTCTTCAACCTCAGGCACACAGTGACGCTGACTGGGGCAGCTGCCAGTTCACTCGCCGTTCTTTAACTGGCTACTGTCATTTTTAGGGGTTTGTCTCGTTTCTTGGAAAACAAAGAAACAGAATACTGTTTCTTCTTCATCTGCCGAGCTGAATACAGGGCCATGGCTGTCACTGTTCGGGAGCTTCAATGGGTTAGCTATGTGCTTAATGATCTTCATATTTCTTTTACGTTACCTATTGATTTCTGGTGTGATAACAGGGCTGCTCTTCATATCTCAGCTAACCCTGTCTTTCATGAACGGACCAAACATATTGATATAGATTGTCATGTTGTTCGGGATCTTTATAAGAAGGGCTTTATCACTCTTAATCACATCAGTTCCTCTCACCAAATTGCAGATTTACTTACCAAATCTCTTCCCGCTCCCATGTTTGATGTTCTTTTAGGCAAGATGGGCTTATCCCCCGCTCATCTTGAGGTGGGGGTGTTGAGTAATCAGAAAGAATCATCTCATGAAGCTAATCAAGCATCTTATGTTCTGGATTTTCGAATAGACCAAGTTCTTATGTAGATATTGTACAAATTTAGTATAGCTGATATTGTATATAATAGCATTGCAGGGTCTCTTTTGTAAATACTAGATAGTTGGAATAGTTGTTGACTAGTCAGCTTACTATGTAAACACTTGTACAGTGACTTTTAAAAGAGAGAGTGAATACTGGAATTCAATTCCAATTTTTGCCCCAAATCTGATGAACCCTAGCTTTTGTAAGAGATATAACTGTTATATATATATTATGCTCTTTCTGTCCAAAAATGATTGTCTTGTTTGGATTAAGGAGTAAATGTGTTTTTTTGTCCCGAAGAAAACAGTCGACACTATAATTTGCGAAATATTCTAAAAACAATAGAGCTTAACGGACTGTAATGTTGAAGCCTGAAGGAGAATCTATTATTTCCTGTGGCCAATCAAAATTTGAAGCCCCATAAAGGAAGATGGTGACTGGCAGGAACCGGCCGGGCAGTGGGTTGTTAGCCTCTTCTCCTGTCTGCATACATATATGATATATCGAACCGCACCACTCCCGTACAATACTCGATATTGTTCGATTAAGTCAGAAAAGGCAAAACAGGAAAAAATGGAAGGAGCGGATTCTGAAATGTTAGGGTCGATTGCAAAATTAAGTCACATCCTTCGACCTCAACGACAATACATGGATCCGGCTCTGTATCGAGCGGCCCAATCAGGAAACTGGGAAGTAATCAAAGAATACTCCAAAGAAGATCTCAAAAGGAGAACTGGAAATGGAGACAGTGTCCTCCATGTCCTCGCCCAATCAGGTGACACTCCTGCGATTGTGAACGCAGTTGCCCAGATCCTAGCTGCGGAACCCGGCCTGGTTCACAAGAGAAATCGGAATCAAGAAACTCCGCTGGTTACTGCATCCAGAAAAGGGCACTCCAACGTCGTTCGAGCGCTTCTCGATTGTCCGAGGAGAATCAACGTTGTCTCACTATATCGGGACTTGTGGTTGCATCCATTCGTTTCGCTAATCCGGTTCGCAGGATTCAAACTTGACAGTCCAGGTCAGGCTGAGTCAGCCGCATTTTCCATGGCTGTTAGGCATAACAGGTACGACATTATTGAGTTGTTTATGGAAAAAAGGCCGTCTTTATTTCGGTATCTTGAGACTAGTAGTCCAGTCGACCGGGTTCTGATCCGCGCGCTCAGATGGAGTATCCGGCCAACCAAAACACAGGTGAATCAATGGGCCAAAAGTCCTTTATACGTGGCAGTTGAAAAAGGCTACCACAGAATTGTAACTTTATTGTTGTCAAGCCGGGGATCATTTCCTTATTATGGTCCCGGACAGAAAACGATCTCGCACGCCGCGGCAGCTAGCAATTCCCCTGGTATTAAATTCTACCCTGAACTTCGTGGCTTCTCTCTAAATTGTTACTACAAATTAATGTTTTCTTGGTGTCACTTTTAATGCATTTGTGAATCCAATCATTTTTATTATAAGTTGTGGAGTGTTATGTGAAAAAAATGCTATGTAACAGACTTGGTGTGAAATTCTGGCTGTGATGAATCAGAGTGTATGCGGATTATCTTGGAGAAAAGGCCTGATATCATGAAGGAGGTGGATGTGTATGGATGGAGTGCTTTACATTATGCTGCTGTGTTAGGTCATACGGAAATGGTTGAACAACTATTGTCAAAAGACAGCTCCATTGGCTATCTCGTGGCAGGACACGACGAGTGCAAGATCCCGCTTCATGTTGCTGTAATTCATGGGCATCTGGATGTGATACAGAGAATTTTGTTTCGCTGTCCTCACAGTTGGGGGATGATCACTTCTAAAGCACAGAAGATACTTCATCTCGCAATTGTCAACGAATGCCAAAATGTTTTAGACTACATTTTACAGAATTCTTGGGCTTCCGAACTCATGAATGAGAAGGATTTGTATGGGAATACTCCTCTTCATCTTTATGTTTCTACAAAAAACATACAAGGTTACGGTCTTATAAATCATCCCGGAATTGACATGAGTGTTCTCAATAAGAAAGGCTCGACTCCATTGGATACACTAACAGAAGGGAGAGGCCTATTCACCAGAAGACAGGTATTTATTCATATATATATATATTAATTATTAAACATACAAGGTTTGGTCAATTTACAACCACTTTAAGCCATTATGTCTGGTGTTTTGGAACTACAAATCATTATATCCGTCTCTAATTAAGTCATAATAACTTTCATTTTTTCTTTTGTTCAATGTATTGAACATTTTTGGACTATTCAGGTTTTGCTTAGAGATGAGCGGTTAGCAGGCGCTAATTCAGGGCTGAGTTGGGCAGTACCCAAAGTGAACAAAGAATTGGGAGATGAGAAACTGAAAAATGTAAAGACATACATGGTTATCTCGACACTAATTCTCACTATGACATTTGCGGCTGGATTGGCCGTGGCAGTTGGCTACAACAGCAGTAAGCCGAATGAAGGCGCGCCGTCCGTGTTGGCTAGAAAAGCGGCATTCATTGTCTTCGTTGTTGCAGATTCATTATCCATGCTGTTAACAATCGGTACAATGCTCTTACAAATTTTTCTCAAAGAGCAACGCGCAATCTGGAGGAAGCTAGATATATTCCGTGACATTAAGGTGTACATGTCCTCAGCCTTGGTACTTCTGGTGGTAGCATTCGTGAGCGGCCTCTGTTCGGTGATCCCTATTCGAGGCCTCGACATTTATTCGATTGTTGTAGGTTCCATCGTTTGTCTTCCTGTAGCTTTTTACACTGTTCGTTTAATATGGACGTACTGGGTGATAAGAGATATTACTGGAGAACCAGACATCTATATTAGATATAGTGATGTGTAAAAGTGTAAGCTAGTTTGTGGGAGCTTGCGGCGATTAATTGCATTGGATCCCTGGTTTTCTTTTTGCGGTTTTTCCTTATTTGATTTAAAAGGTTTGTCATGTCCATTTCAAGAATTTATGTATTATGAAGACATTTAGCCATCCATGGATGACCAGGGAAATAAAATACCACCATTCCACTTCTTTTCTGATAATTTAGCGCTTCAGAATTTTCCTAACATGCCATTTCCAAAAGACCATTTCCATTGATTACTGGTGAAATTTTTTTGGTTTTCAATGTGTATTGGAACAGACTGAACACACCTTTTTTTAAAAAAATTTATTCGTCTCTCGATAGAGAGCATCGATTAGAAGGCTCCATTGATAATCACTTGAATATGAAGTCTAAAAACTGAAGTCTGAAGACTGAATACGCACTGTTAGATAAAAACTTCTCAATCTGACAAGAATGATCCACTTTCATTGTCCTGTTATTGTCTTGAATCGTGATCATGAGTGAACGTTTTTCACATGTGGACTCTAGAGAAAAGCAAACCATATTTCTCAAATGTATATGCAGATGGAGAGTAAATTAATCTCAAACAGACAAAGGAATTAATAACCAGGAAATGGCTGACATATTATTTTGCATCACTTTGAATATTCTGTTGAGCAGAGTTGTGCTAATTCAATGCTTAGGTTGTCTATTTCCGCATCTCCTTTCGCCACCAACGTTTCACCCAGCTCCTTGGCTTTCCGCCTTATCTCCGCCCCGCTGTCATCCACCATAACCATCCGAATCACTTTGGCAATTTCCTCACCCAGTAGATTCCCTTCCTCATCCCTCACAGCTTCCACACCAACTCCAATGGCTTCCACTACTCTGGCATTCACCGGCTGATCACTGTGCATTGGCACGCCGATAATCGGAATGCCTCCACAGCCTCCCCACATCAGGCTTTCCATGACGGAGCACCATCCGCAATGACTCAAAAATCCACCCGTGCTCGAATGCTTCAGGATTTTCGCCTGAGGAGCCCATCCCTTCACGATTTTTCCCCTGTTTCCGATCTTATCGAGAAACCCGTCCGGCAAAACTTCTTTAATGCTAATGTTCTCTTCTTCCCCGACTGGAAATCTGAGAGCCCAGATGAAATTGACATTGCTGAGGTCTAGCCCTTGCGACATTGCAACTATTTCTTGCTGAGTCAAATAATACTCACTACCAAAAGACGCATAAACTACAGAACTTTTTTCCTTCTGATCTAGCCATTCCATGATTTCTTTATCCCGATCATCGTCATTGCTGGATGTTAAATCTTCTGGGACAAGAGGGCCAAGTGGGACGAATTTCTTGTCATATGTTTCAGAAAGATAATCGATGAATTTGCCCTCAATTTCTCTACAAGATTTAAGTAGAAAAATCTTGTAAGAATGGTTGGTAGCTTGAAGTATCTTATCTTTGTCCCCCTGATTCTGCAACATTTTTCTTTTCTCATATCCCCTGAGATAGATTTCCGGAAAAGGGAATTCCTCTCCAGGATTCTTCATCAGGTGTAGGCCGAAAGCCACCATCGCCGCCCCGATTATGACAAATTCAACCGCCGGGATTGCCTGACTTGAAGCAATTTCCGCCGCCCAAGGCTGATTAAAGTCATAAATGACCAAATCAGGAGTCAGTGACTGAAGAAGAACGGAAAACTGAGCGGCCGACAATTCAAAGGCTTTTTTGAGATGGATCATGAGATGGGGTGGGAGGCCATTGGAGGTATGGTAATGAGGAGGAAGCTCAGGGGAGGATGGAAGATGGAGCTCAACCAATTCAATTGAACTTGAATTTGTCTTCTGGGTGAGTTTTTCCTTGATGGATTTGAGATTTATTGGAGTGGAGCAGAAGTAGATATGAAAGTTTCTGATTGATAATCTCTTGGCCAGCTCTAAGTATGGGGATATGTGACCATGGCCGAGCCATGGCAGCATCAGGACTTTGATAATTTTGGTTTGTGTACCTTCTGCCATGAGCAAACACCTCAATAGTATTCCAGTTTTCATTTTTAGTTCAAATTGTACTAAAAGTGAAATCTCAAACTGGACAATAATTTTGGGATAGAGGGAGTATATATATATATACTCCATCCATCCTGAAATAATTGTCAAGTATTAAAAGTGAAAATCCACACTCGACAAATTAGTAATTATTGTAACCGACATCGTCTTCATTTCAGCAGAGATGTTACAATGCCATTCCATTCTGACGCTGACGGACAACAGAAAGAGAGGCTCTTTTAATACTACGTCCTTTCTCTATCTATTTGACAAACGTGGGGTTTTTTCTTTCTTTCTTCCCTGGATGGATGAATATATCAATTTGTGATCACGCCCCTCGTTTCAAAATATTTAGTTTTACTTATTGCAAATGTGAATGAGTTTTAGATTTGTAAGACGCCATACTCAGAACAACTTATAATGGAGGGAAATGAAAACATGCAATTCAGAAATCCAATACGGATAACTCTGTTGTCACCGACGGTGTTTATAATGCAATTTTAATCTATGTTACCCGGACTCTCCACACAGGGGGAGAGTACCCGTGTCGACACGGGTGTGGCATATGGGTATGGCATTTTAGTTGTAATTTTAAGTTTTTTTCACAATATTGACGAATCCGATTCTCAGATCCCGCACCCACACCCGACACCCGTACCCGAGTCCGAATAACATAGATTTTAATGTAACAACTTTTTCCAAAGACATATTTTAGTTATTATATTCAGATTCAGGGTATTATCTTCTCATAATTGAGTCCAAAGAATAATCGCTCTGCATTAACTGTGCTTTCACCGTCTAGTATTAGCAAAAGTGATTAATCTCTGTATTTAGAAAAAAAAAATACGGAGTATACTTTTCTAAAGAATATATCAAAAAATATTGCTTCAAGGTTAATTTGGTTAAAATCTCGACCTCAATAGATTTTGCCACTATCTTGATTCTTGAGTTCTCTCAACAGAGGTATGATCCTGCATGGCATACGTAACACACATTCAAAAGACTGATGCTAAACATCTGAATATGATTTTTTACTCAGAAGCAAGAGATGACAATCAGCTCAAGTTTAATCCTTCAGAAAATACTGTTCGAATCCATACTCTAAATGTAACTAGCCGAGTTTTTACACCGCGCGATGTGCGGTGGATTACATGCCAGTTATAAATTTAAGATATGTAAAAAGAAGTTTGATGATCCAAAATACAGAAAATCAAATTAAAATTTAACAGAAAATAAAATTTTCCAAAGCATAATTTCCCGACTTTGTATCCTAAACTTGCTAATGGAGATTTTCTGAAAATACTTGCAAATTGGGATTTTCATAGGACATTATATGGTATTAATCGACCAAATTGAAATTTTAGGTAAGGCACACTATCTTCTCCGAACAGGGTTCTAAGCATACTTCAAATCAAGCTCCACATTCAGTAGTTTAATCACTTTGATGCCACTAAACATGACAACATAATCTTCTAGGTTCCTCCAATATAATTATTAGTTTGGTTTGTATTGAGGAAAAAAAAAAGTAGTTTCAAGCTTTAGTTATGTATCTGAGGCTTCATTCGGGAATTATGAATAGTCACCCATAACTTCTAATCTACCCTCCAATGAACCCTCATTAATAAGATTAAGAAAATAAAATATAGATCTAAGGAACAGCAAACAACTCCAATATAGGGGTTTTGTTTTTCCCATATGTATTGAGGTTGGACCTCAATCTCCAAACGGACTGCGAATAACTTAAGGAGGCTTACGATTCCAAGTTCAGATGGAATAACCTGATTGTTAAGATAGAACATGTCCTATGTTTCACTATCTTGTCCTTTACGGGAAGAGCTGGCAATCTCACACTTAACTAGGGGTGTAATCGAGCCGAGCCGAGCTCGAGCAGAGGCTTAATTGAGCTATGCTCGACCAATTCTTTACAAGCTCGAGCTTGAGCTCGGTCGAGCTGAAATATTTGAGCTCGAGCTCGACTCGACCCTTAAAAACAAAGCTCGAGCTCGGCTCGTTGGGCTTGTTCCGTATCAAGTTTTCGAATTCAAAGCGGCTCGAATTCAAGCTTGTAATCGAGATTTTATAGCCAGTGGGGATGTTGAAACAAAAAAAATCAGAAAAGAGAAAAATTCGAAAAATAAACATCTTCAAATCTAATCAAAAATTGAAACACTCACTTCAATTCAATCCCTCTAATCCAGTGCCACTTTATTTCCCAAACGAAATAAGGAACAAAAGAGAAACAAAAATCCACAATTTTCAACTCTCAGATATATTACTCTTCTACATCTCCGGAGTGACGTTCACAGATTTGCTCTCGAAAAGAACGCGCCTCTTGGACCTCGACAGATCTGGCGATGGAAGTAAATTTTCAAAGCTTTGGACAGTTATGAATTTTCTTTTTCCTGGTCAAAATTGAGGATGAGAAAGGCTTGAAGGTTTTGATAAATGAAGATACTAAAAGCTAGTTGAGAAAGGAGGAAGAAGAGCCTATACGTAAAGGAATCAAGGGATTAAGTTGATAAAAAAATTATTTGCTATTTAATAAGGACCTCATAGATATACATATACATAACACGCAAGTTGTTCTAGCCGCTCGACTAGTTTTCGAGCGCACAAAATATTAGCTCGAACTCGCCTCGTTTAATTATCAACCTCGGCGAGTAGCTTGCGAGTGGCTTGGTTCGTTTAGACCCCCTACGCTTAAGTAAGTTGCAAATTAGTCAAAAAAAAAAAATGCTTCCACTTGTGTACATTAGATTTTTACATGATAATTCTGAAGACATTGTTTTGCTTACATGATCATATAAACATAAAATTTCCGCCAGCCGCACAATATCAAAAAAAAAATAAAATAAAATAAAAAAGAAAAAACTAACTTCATGCCGATAGCCTGTCAAACTCTTGAAGTGAACACGGACAAGTAGTACCACCAACAGGAAGATAAAAGTCATTCAAACATCAAAAAAAATCGTCAAGCATGAAGTCTTGGTACTCTTGGAATATAGATCTGTAGCTCTAGTATTGGCACACTCGATGCTGATCAAACTGAGCAGTACTGCCTTCTCTAACGAATCGAACAGCTGCAATCATAGGATATGGAAGCAGATCAATCATAGATCAGCTCAAACATCAACAATGAAGGGAAACACAACCTCAAAGAAGAAACTGAATCCCACACAGAAAAAGAGACAGAAACTTCGATGTTTAAACTAAGAGAAAACCCGAAAGCAACTAAAAAACTGACGAGTCTATATCCATCACCGAGACTGGACCGGCCCGCCAAGGGTAGGAGGAATCCAACCGGGACTCTTAGGGCGGTGTGAACTCCTGAAACCTAGTTGGATTCGGAAACATTCAAGGTAAACTCATACTTATAAATAGGGTAGCTCATACCACAATACATGTACGCAATCTATAGCCGAAAGAACTACCTTCCTAAAATTTCTAGCAATCCTATTTACTGACTTACGCATCAGAGTGTCTACCCTCGGGAGACCCCGAGGCTCTGTTTTGCAGGAAACCCTAACCGGAGTTCCACCGTCAAACCGACGGCGCATATCCAAGCATCGTCAAGTGGCACGCCCAGTGGGACCCGAAATTCTAGGGTTTGTGTCACAGAAACCTTCTCAGGTTTCCCTAACATCTTTTCATAACAACTAGGGTTGCCAGAACAATCGATACGATGGTCAGAGTTGAAGAAGACGCCGGCAGCACGACATCCTCCGGCCACCAGCACAGTTTAGGAGACGATACTCCCCTGGCTGAATTCCAACGCCGGCAAGAAAAAAGAAAGACAGAAAAAAGCCACGGTGGAGAACCTGGGAAAGAACAGACGAAGGAGCGTTTAGTTCTTGGCGCTTCTCAGCCCGATCCAAAGAAACAAAACAACACCAATCTTCCACCTGAAAAAGAGGATATACCTTCTCCTCGAAATACCCCCGCTGCTACCAAGCATTTGGAAGACCAGAAACTAGCCAAAATCGAGGCTGAACTTAAGAAGCTAGGCGATGATAGCGACCAACAACAGAGGATGTAGAGATATGATCTCGAAGAAACTAGGCGGCGTTGTCTCCTTGGACAACCTGACCCGACAGAACAAGAGTTGGAGGATTTGATCGATGAAAAAGAAGCTCATAGAACCCTAGCCCTTCTCGAGAAGAAACGGGGCAAGCGGAAAGTCCATGAGCAGGAGAATTACCAAGAAACCGAGGGGTACGAAAGCCCCCAAGAAGAACCGCTCGCATGCTACCAGAGATACCATATTTTGGAACGCTTTCAGAGAAAGATACCCAGCCTTCGACACCGCTCTCGAGGAATTCGACGCAATATACCAACAGAGGGGCGCCAAAGAGAATCCTGACCCCCCGAGCGTCGAGATCCTCGAAGGAGAACAGGGGAAGCCCCCAAGGAGAACTAAGGCACATAATCGCTTAGAGTTCAATTGGAATCGAAGAAGCCCTCGAAGAGGTGAGTATAGACACGACTACAAACCACATCGAGGCCGCAACAACATCGAGGGAAACTATGACCAAAAATACCATCACCGTCCCCGATACTCACCTCCAAGACAGCAGCAACATAACTGGCATAGGGAAAACCCTTCGTACTTCCAGGGAGACCAGCAAGGAACAAGAGACCAGAATATCTTGATCCGAGAGGAAATGAGAAGGATCATCGGGATAGGGCTAGACCGGAGCCCCTTCATCCCCAGCATTCGAGATGAACCTAAGCTCCGAGACTTCGACTTCCCTAAAGAATTCAAGCCATATTCAGGAGATACCGATGTCTCCCACTGGTTGCAAGGATATGTCCAAGTCATGAGAATCCGAAACGCAACCATGAACTTCATGGCAAAGGCGCTACCCTTCTACTTATTCGGGTCAGCACAGCGATGGTTTGGGCAATTACCGGAAGGAAGCATCACTAGCTTTGAAGATTTTTCCATCAAACTAGCTACTCGATTCTTCCAAAGCAAACTGATATCGCGGATGTCCATCAACCTTTCCTCAGTCAGACAAGGACAGTATGAGAGTTTAACCGACTTTCACATGGCGATTCATA